ACAGCACTTTCAGATCCCCTTAATTAATGTAAAGTCAGCAGTGTAACCTATAAAGCTTTCTCACTTTCTTTAAAAATACTTAAGATATTGTGACAAGCAAGGAAAAAAATATCAGTACCTCCCTCCCTCCCTCCCTCTTCCCCATAGCTAGCACAACCTCCCCAGAGCTATGTCATTGCTGTCCTGACGCTCAGAAATGAGAGTCCTCTTTCTCTAGCTTGGTTTGAGCTTTGCTTTGCTGGTTTCATCCTTTCCTGGGTCTTTGGAATTAGCCTTAGTTAAGAAAGATCCAGAATAAAGCTATTCAACCGAAATAATCAAGCACATTCTTCATTCCTTCACAGATGATTAAACAATATTCAAGGTTTCTTGCAAGTTGAATTCATCTTAGATGTGCCCAAATGAAAGTATCTCCAAGGATACACACAAAGGATGCTGGGACTTGGGGTTTTGTTTTGTTTTGTTTTGGTTTTTTTGCACTTTGGTTTTCAATGTTACAATAAAGAAATGAAAAGATGCACATGGTAGATGTACCATAGATACATGAAATACCATTTTGAGGGTCAACATCACACAGTATATATTGTGCATGTGGGTATATACCTAGACACATGCAGTGCTGATACTTTAATGTGCCAATGTGTTGCTGCCATGAAGATACACATATTTGATAGACATATATGACAATATATTCCTACTATATGTTATCTGTACACATTCAAGCATACATACTGTATATGTTTTGGAGAAGACTTGTTTACCAAAATCAGTGCTATGGAAAGAATCCTATTGTAAGACATGATGGAATGGGAGATTTTGATGGAGTGAATGACCAAGGAAGCAAGAAGTCTAATCTTGCAGAGATGTACAAGAACCATTTTTCCTTTACAGAAAGACACTAACTGGTTACTTTCAGTGGAGTCAACTTGAAAAGCTAGAAGGAAATCTTGGATTGTTGATTTAATCTGTTTCTGTTTGTCAAAGACAGTAGTATTGGGGTTTGAGATGGGTGAGTAGTTTGGTGCCCCACAGAACTATGGTTCCCCTATAGGATTCAGGTCATGTGCAGCAGCAACCTTTATTTAAGCCTTTTTTTGTCCATTAACATGAGACTCAGCATGATTGTACTGCTGATTCTGATTCAGCATAATTTTCCCTAAGCATCCCGAATGGATGCCCAAGGGCTTCTCAAAAAAGAAAAAAAAAGAAGTGCTTTCCCTGGAGAGGAATAGAAATTGGTGGTGGCAATTCAGCATGATGAGAACATATATGCTTCTTCATCCAAGGTCCCAACTACACAGGATTTACCCGGCAATTTGAGACAGTCCCTTCTCCATTTATTAAAGATTCCTGTGCCAGAGGAGAGAACTTAGAGCTTAAGGTCAAAGATGGACTTAGACTTCCTCCAAGTTCTCATCCAACTCTGAGAACCTGTTTCTTTAACTTAGGATTTTGTCTATAACCACAAGTATCTGTTCTTGTAGAGAGTATTCATCATAGACTGAGAGCCTAGTGAAACACTTGTCTAGTTATCCATCATTGTAGATAAATGCCAAAATGCTATGAACCAGATTTCCCTCTCCTATCAAGGTGATGAAGCTTCCACCACACAGAAGTTCAAAATAAACCTATTTTTTTCAGCTCCTAGCCTGCTTCAAGTCTTGGTGGTGATCTGCGAGGCTGCTGTATATATGGGCCACTTTCTTTTACTTTTCAAGGTGTCTTATTGCTCCTGGATATCATTAGGACTCATCTTTTTTATTTTCGTAATCTTTTCAGTGGCAGATATACAAAAAACCCCAAATCAGTATAATCTTCTGAAAATCAAAGCTGAACATAGGTGTAAATTGTTATGCCTTTGGTGACATAAGCCAAATCAGACCCCACTGTAATTGCACCCAGACTGTGTAAAGTAGTATATTATTTTCAGGGTTTTCATGATATTTTCATAGTCAACTTTCAGGTACCTCTACTGATTGGAGAGAGGGACAAATGAAGAATCCAAATGGTATTTAATTTGGCTCTGGAAATCATTGATTTTAATGATACTAAAGAGACACACAATAGATTTACCTTCTTTGTTATGTTTTCCTTTGTTTAAATGGAAGTTAGATTGCATTTCCCCAGCACACATTTGCAGCAAAGTGAGGCGGGGGGAATGCCAAGAATGAACTAAATTGAGGCAGAGCTCCCTGAATTGTTAAATTAATATCACTATGAGGAAAAAGTCAAGGAAAACCCATGTAGACTAGGAGGAATTTTGAAAATATGAGCTAGAAGGATGTATTTCTAGGTTACATCTTCCATGCCACATCCAAGCCACTCAATTTCAAAGGCATAAGCAGAAAATCAGGAGGACTACAGAATGGTTTTATCTGCATTCTTTTTTTAAATTATTATTATTTTTAGGCAATTGGGGTTAAGTGACTTGCCCAGGGTCACACAGCTAGTAAGTGTCAAGTGTTTGGTCTGAGGCCGAATTTGAACTCAGGTCCTCCTGACTTCAGGGCCTGTGCTCTATCCAGTGCACCACCTAACTGCCCCCATCTGCATTCTTGCATTATGTTGCAGGGGGCATACACTTAATGGTAACTACCGATACCTTCTATTATAGCACTAACCAAGTAACATCCCCCAAATCCAGGGAATATTTACTTTGGGGCCATTTTTTTATGCTAGAGATATTTTTCATTATTTATTGACTATTAAATTTCAAGATTTGTAACCTCAGGATATCTCCCCCACTCCACAGCTGATAACCCACACACTCCATGTAACACTGGAGTATGAAATCCCTACTTCATGCTGTCTTTATGCTATTGTCTTGCATTGGTGATATTTCTATAATTAAAGGGATGAACGCCAAATAGAAAACAGGTGCAGTTATTAGTTTTTTTTCCCCTTAGAAACCATCAAATCAGAAAATATAAGAAAATGGACTCAATTAGATCCCATCACCTTTCCAGGTCATAAATGCTTATTTTTCTTTTTCTTTTAGGTTTTAAGACAATAAGCTATACTTTAGAGTTGAGCTGAGTGGTGGTCTGGTGTATGGAAAGACAGCTGTATTTGGAAGGGACTGTCCTGGGTACTAATTCTGGGTATAGCATTTACTATCTGTTTGACCATGGTCAAGTCAGTTAATCTGTCTGGGGCTCTATGAAATGAAGGGGTTGGACCAGATGACCTCTAAATCTAGAATCTTCTGATATATAGAGGTTTGAAAGCTATATGTGCATGTTCTCTCTTAAGAGCAAAAATCTCAGATTGTGCAAGATTTTGTTAAAAAAGTATGGAGGGACATTCTTATCTTCTTTACATAATGTAACCTTCCCCCAAACATAAGAGAAATTGGATGTACATGTGACTGGTGCCCCAAGGGAAAGTTCTCTCTTTTGCTGACAAGGTTATCCAAAAAATAGTTTTCTTCGAGCTGGACCTTCTGAAGATAACACTCCCTTATGGGGTTCAGGTATCTAAACACTAAAATTTCTCAATTCCAAGAAGCAGTAGTCCTTTAAACCACTCCCTGGGCAAAGACAGACTACCCTGATTTGAGGGGGAAATGGTTAAGAGAAAATTTGTTTTTGTTGTCCTACATGTTGAATATTTTCTTGTCTGGAGTACTTTCTTTTCTCAATACCATGGAGGATTGGGGAGGAAATGAAATGAGGTTAGCAAAATATCTTGCTCATAGCAGATATTTAATAAATGTTTTGCTGACATTTTTGGACAAGGCCAATATGGGAATTTGTTTTGTTTGACTTTGCATATTTGTTATAAGGATTTTCTTTTTCTTTTTCATGGAGGAGGGAGGAGGAAGAATGGAGAGAAAATAAATGCTTGTTGATTGAAAGAATGAATTAAAATGTTTTTGAATAGGATAGAATTTTTGAATTCAAGGAAAAAAAATAAGGGAATATCCACTCAGGTGATGAAGAATTTTGAAAATGGAAGCCAGAAGACTGTCTTGCTAGGCCATGACTTCCACTCCACATATGAAGCCACTCAATTTGAAAGGAACCTCCATAGGTGGAGAGTTGGGGGAGATACCTTGGGCAGACAAAACTCTCCAGGATATGGAAGTTCCAGACACACGTGCCTCTCTAAACTTTGGTTTGTTTTTGTTGTGGAAAAGATTGTTACCTTTCTTCCCCCTTCCTCCAAATTGACTCTGGTTGTAAGCAGGTTTTTGATATAGTTCTATAATCACCACCCTCTGAGGAACCTGATTGGCCTGTCAAAGCAAGGTTGGACTTTTCCCTACTAGAAGCCATTTCAGTGTGTCTAAAAACCACATATGTTGGAGCAGGCTATAAAAACATGGAATTTCCTTGAGGAAAAATAATGATAGGTTATATTCTCATTTTGAGGTGGATTCTCATCTTAGGTAACAAGATGGGGAAGCTTTATTGAATATTTTCTGGCAGTTATATAAGATGGGCTTCTTATTGTTAGTTCAATCCTGAGCAGGACCTAGGATTTATAACAATACTTGGATTGGGGTGGAGGCTTAGAACATCTTACTCCAACTGCAAATGGTGAATTTGTTGAAGGATAAATTCATGTTTAGTGGATATAATTCCAGAACATGTGATCATAAGTTTAAATTTTGCTGGACATTTCATCTCAGTCTAAATACCATACATCTACAGTGGTTCTTTGTCTTTGGAATGGCATGGAAAATGACTACAATTCTTAAGTGTATACTTAACAAATAGAACATACAACAATAACAACATGTCACTTTTTGACAGCAATAGTTTCTGGATCTCATGGATATCAAGTTAGTTTTGTATACATATATGTGTGTATGTATATATACAGGGTATCTCAAAAGTCTTTGTGCAGTTTAAAGCTATTATAGCTGAAAACTGCAAAAAGACTTTTGGGACACACTCTATATATGTATATATGTGTTATGTAAATAACACATATATAAAACATATATACTTTAATACATATATAGGAATATATATTTCCTCTTAGAAATGCAGCTTTATAGATGATTTTAAAAGCTAATAGAAAAGTAGAAATCACAATAATTTTTACATGTTTTCTGAAATGAGCCCTGTTCAGATGTAGCAACTACATGGAGACAAAGCTATCATGATGGCAAACTCTTTGGTATTGTGGAAGGGAAAAAGATTTGCCCAGCACAGTGCCCCCCTTCACTCCCCTGATGATAAGGCTCGGATACTAGGAACAAATTTTAGGTGGTCAGGCAAAGAACATTCAAGTGACAATCTCTTCTCCCACATTCCCTGGATGGAGAAGAGAGATTAGTTAAGTATCCCAACATCTTACACTTGGAGTCTGTGGTACCTTTGGAAAGATTCCGTGCTGGGTAGAGACTATAAAAACAAAAGCAAAAAACAAAAACAAAAAAAAGAAATAAAATAAAATAAATGACCCTTTTCTTTTGTTGCTCAAAGAAACAGAATTGATTACCTTTACACAAATCAATGATGGTATTAGCATTTTAGCCGTGCAAGAAGAGATAATGAACTGAAACAAAAGGTGTGAGAAATCCTCATCTTTGGTATTGTAGCTGTTGAGGTTTCCGTTGCTCTGTTCCTTGTTCTTTTGAAAAACTGCATAGGCACAAATTAAAGACAATCTTCAACTTTAAGATTACCAAGTGAGTTGTCAAATGAAGCAGCAGCCAATGGAGGCTTTTCTTTGTTTCCATTCCTGTTTCAACCCTTTCTTTGAAATCTGCTTCCGAAAAATGTCCCAAGAGGTCTGTCCAGACACAATGTGTCACACAGCATTGTTTTTCCTTCTTCTTTGTTGTTTTTCATTTACTATTCATTTTTTTTACTTATTCATCTTTAATGGAACAGTTTTTTTTGTTGCAGAAGTAGGTGCAGAAAAGTTTCTTTGGTTTCGATTAAGTAATACATAAAAAGTCTCAAGTGTCTTTAAAGAATCATTGCAGTGTTTGGCTTGCTTTTGAACACTCCAATGGTGCTCTCCAGGGGCCATTCACTGGTAAATATGCACATTGTGACCATCAAAATCTCCAGGAGAAGGACTGTAGGCCTCATTTGGAAGCTGGTCACCACCATGGACAGCCAGTGTGGTTAACCCTCCCCATGTGACTTGGCTAATGTTCTCGGCATTGCCATACTGCTCACCCAAAGGGCCAGCCAAATGCAAGAGCTGAGTGCCATTTGGAATTGCAGAGGCATTCTGATTTCTAAAAGTAATCACAGTATTTTTAGGCTAGAAAATGGCAAGTAAGAAATGTCTTTGGTTTGCAGGACTCTGCTTCTTTGGTGTGCTGTGTTTTCTCCAGATTTAATCAGTCGTTATACAAGGATGACTTAACAATGAAAGAGGGTTGGAATTCAGATGAAAAGTTAGGAACAATAGTGTTGAGATGACGTGTTGGTTGGTTGTTGGAATTTCCCCCAAGGTCAGCAAACATTGAGGGACCCCACCAAAGGAATGTATGAAATAGCAACAAAATTTGAAATAGTAATAATGAGATGGATGTTGTGGTAATAATGCACAATAGGAATGACTAGATGGTCAATAACCAAGGAGAATACACTAATGATCTAAAAAAATCTAGATCTTTTAATATGTTGCATTTGCTCCATGTACCATAGCAGTTAAATTGGCCTCCTGAGTGAGCGTCTGCATCACGTACAAACACAGAATTGGTGGCAAACTGCAAAATGTGCTTGAAGCCATCCTTGTTCCCTTGCTATCCGCTAATGACTTCAGAATCAATGTCTTGATAATACAGATGCAATGAATCCAGAACCTTGTTTATTTCTATAGTTATCATCTTTGTGCTTGATACTTGAGCTCAAGTGAATGGATTTTGTTTTAACCGATCCATAAACGTATGAGACTTTCTGGAGGTAAGGGAAAGAAGACTGTCAACTGGATCGACCTAAAAGCTCCTAAACCATTTGGTGAAAAGATGCCTGAGTTGGAAAAACAGGTTCTAGGATTTGATTTCCACATTTAAGGTTTGTGCTCAGTAATTATCATTTTTAGATTTCACTAGTTATGGCTGTGAACTTTGGTATATTGTAGTGAGAGGAGGCTAAGCATTTGGAAAGCAAATGAGGTCATAAATATTCCTAGAATCTCCTCTTAACTGAAGCATCTGGGGATCCCAGACTTGGAATTCCTCACACAGGCCAGATTCCCACTGCTATTCATGGGAACTTTGTCTGCAAGAGGCTAGTAAGACTGTGTTGGATTGTTTTCTTTTTAAGCACTCCTGTGTGGCTGAAACCACATTGGAATTAACTGGCTTTTAAGGAGAGACTCATTTAGGTTTCTGCTATGCTTAGCATGTTTACAGAATAGTATTTTTGTGGAAGAGACTAATTTTTAGCTTGCACTTAGACTCCATAGCCATAAAAAAAGAACACATGTCCTATGATTACAGCTAGAATAGAAATTTCTTTTTTGAGAGAATTGTGCTTTCAAATCACCAGTGAAGGGCCCCAGCTAAGAATCCTGTGTTTTTTTTTCCTTTCTGTTGTTGTTTCTTTCCTTTTACAATTGACTTGTGCCCAATTTAGATTCTTTCAGTCATGCTTTGGTACAAGTGCTGGAGGTTGATGAGGATCCCCCTGTACTTAAATCGTCCTGCCATTTCTCTAAGCTGCGACGTCGGGCATTCATGAAGAAGTTACTGACTGTGGTGAGTTCCAGCCCCAGCTGCTGAGAAATGGTGATCTGCATCTCTTTGGATGGGCGCTTGTTCTCCTTGAAGATGGCGAAGAGTGTTCGACGTTGGAGGTCAGTGAAAACCAGGCGGGATTTCTTCTGGGAATTGTTCCTGTCTTTGTTTGGTTCTTGCTCTTTGCGTTTGCATGCTTGAAGGGAAAGAGAAGAAGAAGAATCAATGTATGCATAAGTACCCATAAACCAAGTGAGAGATACATCGACAGCATCGATGAAGCCATACATGGGGATGTAAACTGTTAAACTTTATTGTGCAAACTGCCCACCTGTCAATAACCAGGCCTCCAACTTCATCTCTTTGTGATGGAAGGTGCTTTCTTGGTTGGGAGGAGGAAGGAGATGGAAAATTAGGGGAGATTAAAGAGTCTAAGTTTGTACAAATTAGAATTTTCCCCTCCCCTTTCTGGTCCCCTCTTCCAAAGACACGATTTTTTTTTTCCTCTCTGGAAATAGGTGATAACAAAAGGAATAATCATTGTTGTGTGGGTCCCTGAATCTTTCTGAGGCAGGGAAAGGAGCACTCTGCTCAAAGTGACAACAATGAGGTTATAAATTCACAATTGGATTATAACATTAAAGTGGAATAGGTTTTCTCATACTTTACCAAGGTCAACCCTTCAATGCCATTTGAGTTTTTTTTCAAGCAACAACATTAGAAATTAGTCCAAAAGAGATGGCAGAAAGTTGCTATCCCAACCAAAATTCACATCTTTTAGATTAAAAAAAAAACCACCTAACAAATACCTGGATGTGAGATTGAAGGAAAAAATTCTGAAAATGCAGTTCTGGTCAATTCTGAGGAAAAATAGGGATTTGAATTGTTTATCATGGAGCAGGTGTGAATAGGAGTAGAAGTGAAAGGCATCATGAGATATCAACTAGAGTCCTGGATTTGGAGTCAGGAAAACCTGTGCTTAAATCTCATCTCAGACAATGATTAGACATTTTATATGACCATGAACAAGTCATTTAACCCTTCTTGGTCTCAGTTTCCACATGTCTAAAATGTACACCTACATTATAGGATTGTTGTGGGAGTTAAGAAACACCTAAGAGATGCAGTGACTAAAGTACTGGGCCTTGAGTCAGGAAAACCTGAGTTTAAATCCAGCCTCAGATACTTACTAGCTATTTGACCCTGGGCAAGTCACTTAACCTCTGTCTGCCTCAGTTTCCTAGATTCAATGTTATCTTTCCTTACTTTGGATAGAAGATGAGTACAATAATAATTTAATATTCATTGATTGGTAACAATGTGCTTTTTATTGATCAAAGAAAAACTGATGGCTTTCCCTTAGCCTGTGACTGCTCTGTTATCTGTAATACATTTTTTGGAAGCATTTAGTAAGCTCCTATTACATACCAGACATTGTGCTTGGTGCTGGAGATACAAAGACAACAATGAAGCCAATCCTGACCTCAAGAAGCTTGCATTCCAGTGATCTAAGAGAAACATCATGGGACTGTCCCACCACCCCCATGCAGCATCTGCATGACCTTAGGCAAGTCACATGACCTTTGGGTGTTTCAGTTTCCTTATTTACCCAGTGGAGATATTTACCCCTAGAAGAATGTAAGGTAGATGTGGAGAAAAAAAATGAACATACTTTGGAAAGCTTAAAGTTCTCTATTAATATGAGGTACTATTTTGATGCTATTACGTTTGGCTATACTCAAATACTCCAGTTAACCTGTGGTTTTATCAGGTTGGAAGTTCTTTCCAGCTATGTCAAATGTAGCCTATCCAGGCCTGGTCATCCTATATGACTCTTGTCTATATTCTCCTCAAAGCCCACTACATAGAGTCTACCTCCTCCCAACCTGCCTGCCTTCATTTCTCCTGAGACTGCAAGGATACTTGGGCAACCTGCTTATTACATAGATTATGTGTATGTATATGTATATCTAAGTATGGATATGTCTATATATCTCTGTGTATTTGTATACATCTATATACACACATATGCATGTATATACACACACATGCACAATATAGGAGTACACACACCAGGTGATGGGTTATATGCCAGATGCTGATTGTCTGAGCTGAGTTGAGAGATTCTCATCATTAGGTTGGCCATAGGATAATAGATTTTCAGTCATATCAACACACGAAAACCACATATTAAGTTATAGAGGGCTTACAATCTACATTCATGGAGTGAGTACTTTCTGATGGAATTACAGATCCTTAAAGTATTAAAGTACTATTATATTACCTTTCCATTCCACCCTTAAAACACACTTATCCTTGACCTTGAGTTGGTGTAAATAACTTATTAGATACACTTGGATGTTTTTAATGTATTAATACTGTGGTTGATGTGCCTAACACATTGACTTATGAATGCCTCCCTCCCTAATACTAAATGTTCCAAAAAGGCAGGGACAGGGTCTATGTAATTTTCTTTTGGCCAAGTGTAGCACAGGGGCATTAGGCACTTAATAAATGCTTTTGTTGATTCTGGCCTAGAAGTATTCGTGGTGACTTTTTAATAAACTCACGCTCTAAACCAGTAATATTCAGTCTATTAACAAAGTGGTCTGGAAAGGTTAAAATACTCAGTACATGTGAAACATTAAGCAAAAAGCAAGAGAATGTTTGTTACAAACACATGAAAAAAAAGCTCCAACTCACTAAGTGGAGACATAGGTTCAAAATGAAGCTATTCCAAGATGATTAAAGAACAAAAGAGAGTTATATTCAGGGAAACATATGACTCGTGGTCATGCAAAGAATATGGGCCAGGTATGCCCTAGTGTGACAGACTGCATGTATAGGCCACATTTTCTGCATATCTATAGTTTATATCAAGGGGGGAAACAATGATGTGTGCTATCACTTGGACCAAAAGCAATGTAAAGAGCCAGGGTTTTAGAATCTCTCAATTCAAGGGTAACAGTTTCACAAATAAATATTTTGGTCACTGCCATTAGCTTGGAATGACTTAACAGTGAAATTCAGAATAGTTAATGGATACTGTTCTACCCTTCCCAAAATTTTGCTTGCCTTTCTTTACTCAGCCTTTTTCTAGTGGCAACATTCTGTTTCCATTCACACATTGGACATCAGATACAATCTTCTTGATGTCAGAATAAAATGGAAACCATGGTTCAAAACATGAATACAGGATCTGAAATTTTACCCATATGTAGAACTGGCTTAGCTGCCATGCCTACAAAAGGAGGCAGAAAGACTTGGGAGCAGGTATTCATTAACACCTTGTTTCTTCACTTCATTCTCCCTCCCCAAACTTTTGGAAAATGGAGCTGTGTGTAGACAAAAAAGCAGGATGTGTGAAAGCAGTCAAGCAAGCAGGAAGGAGTGGGTTCAAGGAGGCAATCTACAGATAGTACAGGAAGTGCCACCTCGGACTGGAAGAGTGATTAGGGCATAACACAATCAGAGACTATTTGGTGAAAATCATTATGTATTGCCAACCCAGAGTGAGTAGGGAGAAGGATCCTATCCCATGCTTCCCCCACTCAACTTCAAAACAGAGAAAAGTAGTCAATTCTTTCCCCTTTGTTCCCTGTTTCCCCCTTAAATGTTGCTTTAGTTCCCAAGGGTTTTTACTTTCAGTAAAATCATCAACCAACACACCAGAATTGCTGTTGTACTTTACTTAGTGCTAAAGTATCTACATGAAAGGATAAGAGAGGAAGCAGATTCTTCTTTCCAGAGATGAGAAATTTTGTCTAAATGGATTAGCCTGGGGCTTGTAGCTTTTAGGGAAAAGGAGGAGGACCAGTAATGAAAAGTACAAGCTAGGTGATGAATTCAAGATTCAGATACTCTTAGAAATATGATTGTATTAGACTGTAACCTCCTCCATTAGGCTGTGAGCTCTTTGACAGCAGGGAGAAGCTTTCACCTTTCTTTATATCGCTAGCACTTAGGACAGTACTTGGCATATAGTGAGCCCTCTAGTTGACTGAACTGTGAGCTGGTAGGAGCAATAGGAAGTGAAGGGGTGAAGATTGGAAATTTTTACTTTTATTTTTGTGACTTTGGATAGGCCACTTGTTACCTCAGGCTTTGAAAAGTAAACCTCACTCTTGAAGGAGAAAGACTTGCTTAAGAAGGGAAAACCATACCCAAGAGGGGGAGTGAACCACTAGGGAAATTCTGCCTACAAGAAGGGAGGAGGAGTGTGTTGTACAAGCATGTTCAATAGGTCAGCTGGCTCAGTGGAATTTTTGACAGCTCAGCCTGCCTTGTTCTGAAACCATGATGAGAAACTATTATACATAAAGAGTCACAGATAGACTCAGGAGGACTGAGGGCTGTTAGTGTTCTTTTTGCATCTGTTGATTATTATGAAAATGAAACTGATATTGCTTGTAGAATTCAGGTCAGAACTTTCCCACTATCACATCATTGTTGACTGATGTTTAAAAGTATATAAAAGTATGTAGACATGCACACATAGAAAAACTGATAAAAGTAGATTCTGGAAGCTAGGCCTCACCTTAACTCACTGGCCTGGCCTCTTCTGTTCCTGGTGTACAAGTCTCTGTGTTTGTATATTGAATAAAATCCAACCTTTCATTATGCTCTGTATTGTCCAACTTTATTGGCAGGGGCTATTGCCTTCTATAGGTGTTCAATGAATGTTGACCAAATTGGGTTGAATAGTAGTTATAACTTTTCAAAATGCCTTTTGCCTCCTATGGATATAAGTAGAGGTGAGTAGGATAGCCATTTTTAATCCCTATTTCACAGATGAAGTAATAGAGGCCCAGATTGCTTAAGTTATTCACCCAGGATCATCACACGGAGCTAGTAAAGCATCAAGAAGAGAGCCCATGTCTGTGGGACCCCTTTGCTTTTTTCCCCCACTGGACTTCTTTGCTTCCCTTGCCTGAGTCTCAGGACTTCTCTTCATCCTCCTTTCCCATTGTATAATTCCAAGTCTGTGCCATTTATCCTGAGAATGCTGAATAAATATTGTTTGACGATAATCACCTTGTATCTAAAACTGGGCAAATATATCCTGGCAAACATTGCCTAAGGTTCTCTGTCAATTCATGTTCCATTGGATTAGCCATAGACCCCTCAATTTTCATACTGATATTGATTATTCATCAGATAATGCTGTATTTGTGCTTTTAATAAGGTGTTTAGACA